TTCTCCGGTCTCAGTTTCCGGTTCCAAATTCAGTCTTCCTGTAGCACTATCGAAGATCACTGCTACTCCCAACTCGGAACTTGCAAACAGGTTTTCAGTAATTCCGGTTTCCTGGATTTATTGTGCCAAAGCTCTTATTTGAGATGGTGTAATCAAGATTACAGATATCTGGATCCAACCGATAATCTTAACATTAACCGATACAGATCTAGTATTTTCAAAATGTCGTCTGTGGGATTCAAACTCTAGACCTGCCGTCTGGGGTGCAACAACTCCACTACTTTACTAAGTCACCACACCCTTTCACAACAATATTCTTAAAGTATTCACATTATACTAATTATTATAATTCCTTCACTGTATCTTCTTCCAAAAATTCTTCTTTGAGAATACCTCTATAATTATCTGAAACCACTTTTAATACCTCTTTAGCTGTTGGCCTATTGAGATCATCTTCTGCTATCAATTTAGTTCTTGCATAATCACTTAATTCTTGAACATTTACAAAGGCCGTCTTAATCAAATACCTGACAGACCAGATATCAACAATTTCATCATGATTAGATTGAAAACTCTCGGGAGCATGGCTATTATGTACCAAATTCGTGTTTGGAGTATTTGAAGAAATAGTATGCATCATCGAAATCGATAATGAACCATTTATCTTGATCAATGAAAAATCTCAACACATAATCCTTGTGTTAGCTCCATCAGCATCACTGCAATATTTATTTATTTCCTTAATGATTGTACCAATGCAAACTTCATGTAGTATAAAAGAAAATTTATAGATTATAACTTTCTCTCCTGCCAATCCCAACATTACGAATAGAAAATTTTTCTGTATGCTGTTCATATTCTTCTATGGTAATACCTGCAGCAAGTACATATAGTAGACTTAATAAAATAAATTATTTCAGCAACCGGCTCAAAAAATATCAACACCAAATAAATAAACTTATGCTACTTCTTTCACTTTGCTTTTTTTTTGCTAAATTCTCCTTTATTTCACCACAGGTTTCAATAAAAGTTGCACTCTGACATTCGTTCTAGAACTGCATCACTACTCTTAAGAGTATCTTTGGAAACTTAGTAAAAAAATAAGGAGTAACAGTTGCACATATCTACTTATGCAGTATCGACAGAATTTGTACTTGTTCTTGTTAAACCAATATTGCTGAAACTAGGATTTGACAGACTAGTATAAAGCGACATTTTGGTTTTGGAAAAATTGTTATGATAATAGTTTAGCTTCATTCAATATTGGTTGTATATCAGAATCCTGACACACAAAATCCCGGCAACAAAATCCCAATACACAAAATCCTGACAAATGAAATTCCTAATTTTAATAT